TGATAACAACTTTTGGTACTTTTTCAGGTTACAAAATAAATAATGACAAATCAGTGATAATGTTCCCATCTGATAAAGAGAGACTAAATCCCCCAATCAAAACTTCTTTTTCCACCTCAAAATATGGGTTTTCTTATTTAGGAGTTAAAATTACCCCTACAATAGGGGAAATAATTTCATCCAATTATACACCTTTAGCAAATATAATTTCCAAACAAACTAATAAATGGACAACATTGCCTATTTCTATGAAAGGACGTATAAATATTTTGAAAATGTCAGTTCTTTGTAGGTTTTTATACCTGTTTCAGTCTATTCCACTCTCCCCACCTCTTAGTTATTTTAAATCTTTAAATAAGACATTCACCAGTTTTATTTGGAACAATAAACGACCACGACTTAGACTCTCATCACTATATTTACTATATGATAGAGGAGGTTCCAAACTTATTATGGTACTTCTGGGCAGCTCAAATTAAATAGGGTATGTTTTACTTTGAACCAATAAATAAATCCCCAGCTTTGGTCAATATTGAGGCCCAAAATATTGCAATTTCTGCAGACCTATATATATATATATATATATATATATATATATATATGTATATATATATATATATATATATATATATATATATATATATATATATATATATATATATATTCATCAAATATAAAGAAATTGTTGAGAGTAACCAAAAACCCATTTAAAAAAATACAATTAAAATGTGGCTTGAGGTAAGTAACTGCCTGGATGGGACTAGATGGCTATTTCCTCTTACGCCAATTTTTGGCAATGAAGAATTCCCTCCAGGGAGAATCAACCCAGGATTTTAAACTTGTCTCTAAAAGGACTAGCAACAATCTCTGCCTTACATAAAGGAAATAATATGAGAACTTTCCAAGACCTGGTGGCCAACTTTAGTATTTCCCAAAAACACTTTTTTAAATATCTTCAAGTTAGTAACTTCATTAAATCAAGTCAAAGTGGTAACCTGGCCCCACCTGCACCATCAACTTTAGATGAGATTGTGTCTAAATATAAGTTAGGTAAGGGACATATTTCCATAATATATAATGAGATAATTAAAAGATCTAAGGATTCATCAATGAACATCTTCAGAGCCTGGAACTCCGATATGGGTGGAACCATATCAGAGGAAGAGTGGACAGAAGCTTGTTCTTTAATTAAGACCCAGACTGTTAATACAAACTCCAAATTACTTCAGTACAAATGGATGACCAGACAATATATCACTCCAACTAAGCTACATAAGTTCAACTCTGATGTTCCTGACACATGTATTAAATGTAAGCCTCAAAGGGGATCCTTATTTCATTGTGTGTGGGAATGTCAACCAATGTTACATTTTTGGAAGGAGACTCTTTTAATTATTGGTAAAATAATTAATGAAGTAATACCTGTAGACCCTACGTTGTGTGTTTTAAACATGTATCCTAACAACTTTATCCTTTCTAATTCTAAAAAACATCTTATGAATATTTGCCTATTGGAGGTTAAAAGATGTATTGCACGTTGCTGGAAAAAAACCTAACATGTGTGCAACTTCAGACTGGTTGGAAGCTATGACATCCTTTGTGGCTTTAGAACGAATAAGCTATTTTACAAAACATATGTTAGATAAATTTGATGAGATCTGGAAGTTATTTTTTGCTTTTTTGGAAACGGGTAATACAATGTGAAACGACAAAGTAATTTGATATTGTTAATGTATGCAGGAGGTGTATGTCTTTTTCTTTTCCTTTTTTCACTTTATCTCATTCCCTTCTGTATTTGTGTTTTACTTCAAATATACCATACATTCGGGCCTGCTAACAGAAGGGAAATGAAAATTGGTATTGGGCACAATGTTTTCATGTTTATGTTTATTTACATATTTATGCCACATAATTGTCTCTTGTCCTTTTTTATTTTTCATTTAATGTTTTGAGTGGAGAGATGTTCATTATATTTGTTGGTACCCAAATGAAGAAAATCAATTAAAAAAATTGTTTAAAAAAAACGGGTAGAATGTCTTCTCCGGGTCAGGGATGAGATCCTGCACCAAGTGGAGGAGTTTAAGTATCTCAGAGTCTTGTTCACAGGTGAGATCGACAGGTGGACTGGTCTGCAGTGATGCGGGCGTTGTACCGATCTGTCGTGGTGACGAGAGCTGAGCTGGAAGGCAAAGCTCTCGACTTACCGGTCGATTTACGTTCCTACCCTCACCTATAGTCATGAGCTTTGGGTAGTGACTGAAAGAATGAGATTGCAGATACAAGCGGCAGAAATTATTTTTCTCCGCAGGGTGGCTGGGCTCTCCCTTAGAGATAAGGGTGAGAAGCTCTGTCATCTGGGAGGGGCTCGGAGTAGACCCGGTGCCCCTCCATATTGAGAGGAGCCAGTTGAGGTGGCTCAGTCATCTTGTTAGGATGCCTCCTGGACGCCTCCCTGGTGAGGCTTTCGGCATGTCCAACCAGGAGGAGACCTAAAGGAAGACCCAGGACACGGTGGAGAGACTATGTCTCACAGCTGGTCAGGGAACGCCTTGGGATTTCCCCGGAGGAACTGGTCCAAGTGGCTGGGGAGTGTCAGGTTCGTTGGCAGATCAGAAGCGTGACTGAGAGTTCGGTTGCCCAGATGCGGAGAGACGGAGATAACCGGCGTGGTTGTCTCCTGAAGGTGTAGTTTGGAAGGTTTTGAGGGCTGGTAAGCCTGGAGACTCGATACAAAGTCTGGTGAGAACGATGACTGAGCAATGAATGAAACGCCGGCACTTCCTTAAGTAGTGTCGGCGTGATGACGTCAGTCGCCACGTTGGTGGCAGGAATGAATGGAATGCAGTCAGCTGGAGGAGTTCGTGACAGGGAGAGGGAAGTCTGGGCTTCCCTGCTTAGGCCGATGCCTCGCAACCCTACCCTGGATAAGCTGCCAAAAATGGATGGATGATAAAACACAACACAACACAACACAACATAACATAACATTACATTACATTACATAACATTACATTACATTATTTTATATTATATTATATTATATTATATTATATTATATTATATTATATTATATTATATTATATTATAAAAAGCCCATAGGTCACTTGTATTAAAGGAGACATAACATGCTTTTAAGTTATTCCTTTTGACATCTAAGTCATTCAGTTGGGGTCTGAATACAGTCGAACTGCAGTTCTTTGGTCTGATTTCCTAATTATTGTTACTCTACAGACCCCTCATCTACCCCTGTTCGGAGGAGAGTCTGAGGCCTAGTCCACACGTAGCCGGGGTTTTTTAAAAACGAATATCCGCCCCTCCAAAAACTTGCATCCACACCACCGCGTTTTAAAAACAAACTGTCCACACGTACCTGGATAAATACGTTGTTAAGGACATGCCAGACCTGTAGGCGGCAGTACTTCCCCCGTTCTTAACCTCGTCCTTCCTCTGTGGTCTTCCACAAGGAGCAGTAATTCCGCTTGCAAAAACAAACCAGCAGAAAGCGCTTGGACAATTGATAAAGCGAGCGCAGCTCTGAGGGCATCCATGCTGTCGGCTAGTGTAAACACAGGTCGCACACGTGATGTCAGCATTTTTTTGTCACGGAAAGTGACGTTGCGGACCTTAAAACTCCGGTTTTGTCTGTCCACACGCAGACACCCAAAACGGAGAAAACGCAGATCTTCACTTTGGCCGGAGTTTTTAAAAATATCCGTTTTCGGGTGAAAAAAACTCCGTTTTCGTGTGGATGACAGGCCAAAACGTAGGAAAATATCTACGTTTTGGCAGATCCCCGGCTACGTGTGGACAGGGCCTGAGAATGAGCCGTTTTTGGGTACTGTCTCTTTAAATCTGGAGAAGGAGCTGCAAACTCCACCCCCCTCCAAAGTGCAGACCACTCTCCTCCCCCAGTCTGACTTTGTAGTTCTATAGAGAAATCAATATGTAGCATAGCAAAAACGTTATATTAGCATTTTAAAAATGTGGGGAGAGTTGTCCATCAAGCAGTTTCAAGGCTGCTAACTCTCTCATGCATTTGTCTGTGGTAGTCACACACACCTGTCATGGCCGACAGAGGGACAAGCGAGCAAGCACACGCACAAACACACACACACAAAGAATGCTGCTTGCTTATTTACTTCTATTCAAAATTGTTTTAAACAATGATACAGCTCATTAAAACACCATTGGTGCAGTTTTACACGGCCATCATTGAGCCCATCCTCACCTCATCTATTGCTGTGTGGTACGCTGGAGCCACAGTGAGGGACAAACATAGACTGCAGCGCATTGTGCGCTCTGCTGAGAAGGTGATTGGCTGCAGCCTGCCATCTCTCCAGGACCTGTACGTCTCCAGGACTCGAGGGCGTGCAGGTCGGATAGCAGCTGACCCTTCTCACCCGGGTCACAGACTTTTTGAGCCGCTTCCCTCAGACAGGAGGTTACGGTCCGTCCGAACCAGAACCTCTCGCCATAAGAACTGCTTCTTTCCATCTGCCGTTAGACTTGTGAACAGCTTATAAACACACAACCATGCTGGTCTTCTGTACTCGACACAACCTCACGTTATCGGCCATGTTACCATTACCTGCCATTTTTTATAGCTGAAAGTTTTATTCTAGTTTTATTCTATTTTTAATCTTATTATTATTCATGTTATATGTAGCACATTAGTACAGAAGCAAGTTCCTAGTTTGTGAATTTTTTGTTCACTGACAATGGCAATAAACCTATTCTGATTCTGATTAAAATAATATATTTTATTAATATCTCTCTCTGTATACATATATACATATATATATATATATATACATATATATATATATATATATATTCTTTTAATCAGAATGTGTGTGTGTGTGTGTGTGTGTGTGTGTGTGTGTGTGTGTGTGTGTGTGTGTGTGTGTCTGTGTGTCTTAATGGCTGAAAATGGATAAAAAGCAGTTACATTTTGATTTAAAGGTTTGAGATTCTAGTCACAAATAAAGTACATTTCTCCAAATGTTCTTTAATGTGATCATTATCATTCTAATGCTTACATCTTTACGTTTTTATTGTCTGCAATTCATAGCCTATATCTTTATTAAGTGTGTGTTTAGCTGTAACCGTGTTAATTCTAACATGTACACAGAGGTTGAGAAATCAGTGCTGCGGAGAAATTCCCAAGATCAGTCTGCTTTGCTAACAAATATAGTTAAATCTTACCTGCATTCTAAATAAATACATTAGATGAAAGCCAGAATGAAGAAGCATGCTGGATCATCATGTATCTGAGCCTGTTCTGTGTGTTTACCTACAGGATGCAATAAATGTTTACAAGGCTGACATTACATCTAAGAGGAAACGTACTATCAGTGATTTTTTTTATTGTTTATATTAATATACAACTTTTCTAAGTATTAACCTCACAGCAAAGAAGCAGAACAATATAATAAATAGGCTTTAGTAGGCGTTGTACACACAGGTGCTTTGTGTCCCAGTGCTGGTGGTATCTAGGTCTCAGAGTTCCTGTCCTCCTTCCGTCTTCTGTTGTCCTCAGGATACGGATTGATGTTTCCTGATGATGAGGGAGGGGCTGTATGTGGGCTTCAAACTGGTCCTGGATAACAGTGGGAGACCTCCATCGTCTGATTACTGAGACCAGAAGATTGGTGGGATGCTAATCTTCTCTACCTCATCTAGAAACGGAGTTGGTTCAGGGAAAACTTTTCCAAAGACCAGTTCCATGATATCACCGCCATATTCTTTAAACAATAACTTTAATGACATATTTTCTTTACAAGCAGCTTTAGAAAAGTTGGTTCTTTAGCTTTCATGTTTATAGTGACGTTCGTGTTTCTTTTGTTCATCTTTTACTTTATTTACAAGTTCACTTTGCTGCAGTGACTTCATATTGTCCTACAAATGTAATAAAATAGTGACACTAAAATTATACAAATGACTCCTTATGAAAGGAATCTCATTAGAGAGCAGCGCAGACAGACTTACTACATGCTGCAGCTGTTTTGTAGGCCAGCTGCTGCTGAATTTGGAGAAAGTTATTCTGTACACGTCCAGATCAGATGGTTATTTACAGAAAATAATGTAATTCTATCATTTCCAAACAGACTAAACCAGTGAAACATCAAATAAATCACTCTGCTGTCATCAGATGGAGTGATTCAGGGGGTGAGGTGTTCCTAATGATGAGGGTGGCCTAGGAGTAGGGCTAAAGTGTCATCACTCACTTTGGTCTGGTCCAGCTACCGTCTCTTTACTGGTGGGTCTCCTTCCTCAGTAGGTGACGTGAAGCTCCAACATCTGAGCGTTTTGTGTTCCTTAGAGGAGAAGAAAAGTAACATTAGCAAGCTGGCTAAATTATTTTTTTTACTAGCATCTCAAGGCCTTGGAGAACCAGATCTTCACTTACCTAAACATCAGACCAGAGTTTGTCCCAGCTGAGCTCATCAGGGTTTTAGTCTGACAGCCTGTCAGTGAAATACGGCTCCAGCCTTCTGGATGTGGACTCTGAAAAGCAAAGGAGCATTTTACTTGTGTTTTAATTATTTTACAGGTGATTTTATCAGCTTTCGGACGCTCACGCTCATACAGATGAGTGTCAGTGAGCTTCGCTGTATATGACTGATGCAGAGTTAGTTTTTATATCTGCAGTTGGACAAAAAACTAACCTCACTTCACTCAGAGATTGTTCTTTAAACTCCACTGTGTTGACGCACTTTAACGACTTTGTCACACTGCATTTTTGCTGACATGGGACTTTATTTACTGGATGCTCAGATCACATCATACTCACGGAGTAAAACACACGGGCTCTCTGCTGCTACAATCAGTGGAAAGTTATCATCTGGCTAAAAAGAAGGCGTTGATCAGAATTTCCAGATCACGTTTTATTCCACGAAAATCGGCCAAATCCACATTAATCTGGGTGCTAACTTTACTAGCATATTGTGCTAGCATTAGCCAAAGCCGGATTATAATATTGTCAAACTGGGCACAGGCCCAGGGGCCCACAGCCACAAGGGGGCCCACGCAAGCACAGTCTTTTTTTTTGTGCAGCAGTCTTAACATTGGAGAAAAATGTTGACAAGTAATTAAAATTGCGCCCACATCTTCTAAGTTAACACACATTTCTTTTAACAACGATAGTTTTTGCATCTTTACTGCCTGCTTCAGCTCTCTCCCCCCTCCCCCTGCGCAGTGGCCGCAAACTCACTGATGTGCCTGCAGCCTCTCAGAGTTCCTGCTGATCTAAACGTTGAAAGAATCATTTAATTTTCTGTTCCTCGCTTCTAATTACTTTCAATGGTGTCTGTTTGTTGCAACCACCAGGTACAAAAACGAACTTGTTTTTATTTGACTATTTTTCTGTCCTGTCTGTTTATCTTCCGGCATCTCCTCTCAATCCTGAAGAAAAACTGCCACCTGCCTTCATATGTATTCACCTTATGAGTTACCTTTAGAACTGCAGTTAAAAAAGATCTACCTACCGTAAATATAGCAGAGCGCGCCGGCTGCACCGGTGAGGCGAAGTCACCGGAGGACGAAACTGGTTATGCGCTCTGCAGCAGCAAAACACATCAGGCACAAACAAAAGACAGAAAACATAAAAGGATATGAGCCGATATAAATGATCGCATGTTAAATTTGTTTTTGAGGTGGTGACACTTTGAGAATGTTACTGTAGCCGTTCTCAGGACGCATCTGTCTGGAGCACGTCAACGATCAGAGCTCTGCACCTCTCAGTTCTAAATAATCCCCGGAGAGTCCACATGAATAATGCAATATAAATAGAACCATGATCGTTTTCGGGCTAAAAAATAGTCTACAGTCCATCTTCCCTAATGTGTTTGTGGCCCTGCAGATTTTTCTAACTCTACCTGCACTTCTTAAATGTACCTCTCAATGTAGAACTCTTTCATAAGGGTACCGCACCATCAGCTACGTCAGCCCAGACAAGAGCAGAGAAAATAGAGACAGAATAGAGGAGAATTCTGTCTGGATGTGGATGGAGATTACATTTTACAGCAGCATGATCATCATTCAAATACATAAACCATCACCTGGCTTCTAGTCCACGCTGTCAGCATTATTTTAATTGGTGTGTGTGTGTGTGTGTGTGTGTGTGTGTGTGTGTGTGTGTGTGTGTGTGTGTGTGTGTGTGTGTGTGTGTGTGTGTGTGTGTGTGTGTGTGTGTGTGTGTGTGTGTGCGTGTGTGTGTGTGTTTTCCACATCAAACACTGGTCTAACCAACCAGACCAGCGTGTCCAGTAACATATTAATGTTACAATTAAACAGTTACACTTCATGTAGGCTAGGAACATTTCACCTGCCGTGGCCCGACCGCTTCTGCTCCACATAAACTTTGTGCGTGATCAAATGTCTCTACTGGTGCTTTCTGAGCTGAGGAGGCTATTCTGCCTCAGACAGACTGGATGCGTCATGCGTCTCCATATTGGAGACGGAAACAAGCGCTGTTCAGCCAAAGTTTCATAATAGCGAACATTTTTCCAAGTGACACATCCCTCAGAGAGACAGGGTTTCCAGACCGCTTCAGTGGGAGGAAATCTTACCACATGCACTGTGGTTCTGTGCTGTGCTGTGAACCCCTCTACAGATCTTCAGCTCACTGTCCACCGTGTGCGCTGTGAGCTGCGCTGAGCACAGTGTCCAGTATAAAGCTCTGTTGTTCTGATGGGAATCTTATTTTGATTGATTTAGTTACCTCCGCGATGTGCGTAATGATCTGTATCAGTCTGTGTCGGGGTAATTCTTTCAAAACAACCAACATTCTTGAGTTTAGCCGTCAAAATAAACAGTCAAATGGAAATATCTGTAACCTGCCATTTAACTGTTTTGCCTTCTTGTGAAGATTGTTGCAAAGAGAAACAATTAAACTTGATTAACCCCAGAGCCATGCGCACTACGCTGTACTCCGTGACTGTAAAGGAGGGAAAAAATTACTTAATCTCATCCTTTTCTTACCTTTTCAACATGGTTTAATGTAAAGTTTCATTCAGTACAAACTTTAGTTGCACCAATCTAACGAGACAGAGCCTGGATTTGTATTCTGAACATTTTAAACATGTTTAAAATGGAGACATGCGTGATGCGTCTTAAAATTCACACCTGCTCAACTATTATGGAAATTAAACTAACAAGATGAATGACATAAGTATTTTAGGCACAGACAACATCCCCCACACTTTTGAAAAGCTTGCAACGTGCCAGGACTAAGCACATTGTGCATAGGCGTCATTTTAACCGGGGACGCCGGGGACATGTCCCCGGCAAAATTTGTGATTGGCAGCTGTGTCCCCCCCACTTTCAAAAACGCCTGCTGATGAGGATTTTTGTTTCACCAGCTCAGATGTCTTCTCTGGATCCAGATGACCCAATGAATTACAGACCAATATCTAACCTTCCATTTTTATCCAGAGTCCTGGAGAAAATAGTGGCCATCCAAGTATGTCAGCATTTAAACACTAATGCTGTGTTTGAGGAATTTCAGTCTGGATTTAGAGAGTATCACAGTTCTGAAACTGCATTAGTGAGAGTTACAAATGATATTCTCATGGCCTCAGATAAGAATCTTGTGTCTGTTCTAGTCTTGTTAGATCTCAGTGCTGCCTTTGACACAGTTGATCACAATGTTCTTTTAGAAAGACTTGAACATGTTGTAGGGATCAAAGGAACAGCGTTAGGCTGGTTTAAATCCTACCTGTCTGACAGATTTCATTTTGTAAATTTACATGACAAATCTTCTTCATACTCCAGGGTTACTTGCGGAGTACCACAGGGTTCAGTGCTTGGGCCAATTCTTTTTACTATATATATGCTCCCAATTGGTAAAATCATTAGACAGCATGGGATAAACTTCCACTGTTATGTTGACGATACTCAGTTATATTTATCCATTAACGCTGATGAACCTAATCGGTTGGGTAGATTACAGGCTTGTCTTGAGGACATAAAAAATTGGATGACTCTTAACTTCTTGCTTTTAAATCAAGACAAGACGGAAGTTCTCATCTTTGGACCAGAAATCCAGAAAAGGAAATTGCTTAGCCAATCGCCTGACCTTAATGGCATTACATTAATCTCCGAGAACAAAGCAAGGAACCTAGGTGTTATCTTTGACCAGGACATGTCATTCAAATCCCAGGTTTCACAAGTTTGTCGGATTTCCTTTTTCCACCTTCGGAATATTGCTAAGATTAGAAGCATACTTTCCAGGAGTGATGCTGAAAAACTAGTTCATGCATTTATTACATCAAGACTGGATTACTGTAATTCATTACTCTCAGGAAGTCCACAGAATGTAGTTAAAAGTCTTCAGCTTGTCCAAAATGCTGCAGCTAGAGTTCTGATGAGAATTAAAAAGAGAGATCATATCTCTCCTGTCTTAGCTTCCCTACATTGGCTACCTGTTAAATTCAGAATAGATTTTAAGATCCTTCTTCTCACATATAAAGCTCTTAATAATCAAGGTCCATCATACATCAGTAATCAGATTGTTCCATATGTTCCTAACCGAGCACTTCGCTCTCAGACTGCAGGTCTACTGGTGGTTCCAAGAATATCTAAACTTAGGATGGGAGGCAGATCTTTTAGTTATCAGGCTCCTCTCCTGTGGAACCAGCTCCCAGCTTTAGTCCGTGAGGCAGACACTTTGTCTACTTTTAAGACTAGGCTTAAAACATTTTTATTTGATAGGGCTTATAGTTAAAATCTGATGTTAGCCTAAATCTGGACAAGTTGGGGATTACAGGGAGGTGGAGTGTACAGTCGGTAAAGACGGCTCTCCCTTGCCCTGCCTCCAACATGCCTACATCTAAATAGGACAGGTTATCCAGAGTTAACTCTGTAGTTATGCTGCTATAGGCTTAGACTGCTGGAGGACACACTGACCACTTTTCACACTCTACTGCTTTCTTCTACAGTCTGCTCTTTAACTGTACTATTTTGTGCAATTTCAGCTGTTAACTTTATTTTCTCTGTAAGTGTTTTTCTCCCCAGAAGAAGCTACAATGACGTTCTGCTCAGCTGTGGTGGCCTCATGGAGGGGGCCATCGACTAGCACACTGCTGCTAACCACTAATACATTCTCTCTCTCCTGATAATAACTTTTTGTTTTCATTGACTTTTTATTTGCTACTACTAGTTTATCCGTTTAATTATAGATCCACTAGGATAAATACAATAAAGTTTATCTTTCACCAAATACAATATTTACTAAGACATCACAATATAACTATAGACACATTACTTGTGTGTGTGTGTGTGTGTGTGTGTGTGTGTGTGTGTGTGTGTGTGTGTGTGTGTGCGTGCGTGCGTGCGTGCGCGTGTGCGTGTGTGTGTGTGTGTGTGTGTGTGTGTGTGTGTGTGTGTGTGTGTGTGTGTGTGTGTGTGTGTGTGTGTGTGTGTGTGTGTGTGTGTGTGTGTGTGTGTGTGTGTGTGTGTGTCTGCCTGCTCTGTCTTCTCGATCCCCAGTGAGCCGTGGAGGATGGCTGCTTATACTGAGCCAGGATTCTCTGGAGGTTTCTTCCTGTTAAAAGGGAGTTTTCCTCTCCACTGTCGCTGCATGCTTGCTTAGTATGAGGATTGCTGTAAAGTCACTGACACTAGTCAGTGACTTGATGCAATTTGCTGGGTTCCTTATATAGGAAACATTATTTCTGATTGGCTTAATGAACTGTGAATTGGAATGTTTATTATGTGAAGTGCCTTGAGACGACTCTTGTCGTGATTTGGCGCTATATAAATAAACTTGAATTGAATTGAATTGAAGATCTTATACCAGGGGTCGGCAACCTATTCCCATCAAAGAGCCATTATTACCCGTTTCCCACGGTAATTTTGGACGGACCTTAATAAGCAGTGACTTAAGTGAAGCAGGCAGGTCGCGCTAGAAATTTTCGTTTAAAAATACGTCATAAATGTGTTCCCCCGTCCTTTTTATTTATAAAATATGAAGTAAAAACTCACAATTAAATTTTCATTCATTTGTCATTAATATTTAGTCTACACCCGTGCGTTAAGTGGACCATCTTCCAGTAAAAGCAAAGCATCCAGCCCACCTCTCCAAATGCGTAAAATGGGCATCAGCCGCTAGTTAGGCGCGCCGCGCACACCATCAGCTGATCAGCCCAGACAAGAGCAGAGCAAATAGAGAAAGAATAGAGGATAATTGTGTCTGGATGTGGATGGAGATTACATTTTACAGCAGCCTGATCATCATTTAAATACGTAAACCATCACCTGTCTTCTAGTCCACGCTATCAGCATTATTTTAATTGGTGGTGTGTGTGTGTGTGTGTGTGTGTGTGTGTGTGTGTGTGTGTGTGTGTGTGTGTGTGTGTGTGTGTGTGTGTGTGTGTGTGTGTGTGTTTTCCGCTTCAAACACTGGTCCAACCAACCAGACCAGCGTGTCCAGTAACACATTAATGTTACACTTCATGTAGGCTAGGAACATTTCACCTGCCGTGGCCTGACCGCTTCTGCTCCACATAAACTTTGTGCGTGATCAAATGTCTCTACGCGTCATGCGTCTCCATATTAGAGACGGGAACAAGCGCTGTTCAGCCAAAGTTTCATAATTTCATAAAAAGAACATTTTTCCAAGTGACACATCCCTCAGAGAGACCGGGTTTCCAGACTGTTTCAGTGGGAGGAAATCTTATCGCATGCGGCGTGGTTCTGCACTGCGCTGCGAACCCCAGATCTTCAGCTCACTGTCCACCGTGGGCGCTCCAAGCCGCGCTGAACACAGTGTCCAGTATAAAGCTCTGATGTTCTGGTGGGAATATTTTACCTCCGCGATGTGCGTTAACGATTAAAATGTCAGCTCATCCATGCGCATCCATGTGCGTCTGGGTAATTCTTTCAAACCAAGCAACATCCTTGAGTTCATCTGTCAAAATAAACAGTCTAATGGAAATATATGTAACCTGCCGTTTAACTGTTTTGCCTTCCTGTGAAGATTGTTGCAAAGAGAAACAATTAAACTTGATTAACCCCAGAGCCACGCAGAGAA